CAAAGCCAAATTGTCAGACACCTTGTTGGGCACCGTAGATCTCCTGCACCCCAAAATATATATCCTATAGCCACATACATGAAAACTTGAATCAAAGTTAGCATACCTTGTAACATCCAAATGCAGCTGGTTGAGGGTTCCCAGCCAGAGTTCATCCCATAGGATAGTGATCCTACGCAGCTCACGGATCATCAACTCAATATGGCAAACTAATGTTGGGTTATGCTTCGATAATGTGTCTACAATTGACAAGAAGCAATCCTCCAAAAGTACCATAGACTTCTCACGTTCCTCTTCGTATATTTCATCGTCTTCGTCTCCGTTATCTAGGGCATCTGAAGCGGACTTACTCGGACTTTTGGCAATCAAGTTGGGAAGAACTTCTAAATATAAAATTCATTACATGTGGCAAATTAAACAGTATATATATACATATATATATAGAGCATGATGTAATCCACGTGTGTTCCTTAGATATATAACTCAATGAAAAAGACGATGAGATGTCAACGACTTGGTAGACTTAGAACACAAATTTTATTCAAAACATGAATATTTCAACCCGTCCTCGGGTCTTCTTCAGCATGTGTGACAAACAAAATATAAGTTGGCTATTACAATAATTATGATAAAAAGTAAAGTATAATATGATTGGTCGAAATTTTTATTCACGTTCATTATATTCTATTTTATTACTACACACAATAAAAAACATAGGAAATAGCAAGAGTGATTACAATAATTCCTATTGCATTACATGCATAGGAACTAATAAAGGCGAACAATAGTAAATAGACGGAAGTACTTTTGAAGTTTTTAAAGTTGCAGAGGACGCTTCTCACGCATTTACTAGTCACATGACTATAATAGCGTCATCAGTGACCAGTGCCTATACAGTATCAAGCCATTGAACTTTCGAGAAAGTGCTGATAACATTGCACTTGAAACGTAGGGTAGTAAGTATACAAATACACCCAAGTTACTGTGTTAACATAGTACATGTGTAAATATTTGTTTTAATCAAAGAATTTTTAAAAACATAATTATTTTTTCAACGAAATTAAATCTCATTGAATGTTAAAGTTAAAAACCTATTTGATCTTTTGTAAATGTACTATATTTTTTGATTGAATATTTGTTATTTTTTCCCTCTAGTTTTTAACGCTAACAGTAAATCTTTACAATAGTTAATCGTAAAGTTAAATCAAGAGTTTAAGTTCATGTTTACCAGCCTTGTTCCGTTGTATTAGATAATGGACCACGAAGGTACTGTAATTGAAACTTGATTATATGTATATAGTCGGAAGCTTTCAAAGGTAATTTTCGGACTTCAGACAAAATTTTGAAATCGTTTTGGTTTATGTCGTTTTTATGGACGTTCGAATTGTGCAATGATGATTTAAACAAATAGGCAGAAGCTACAGACTATGTATTTATTAGGCATGTACTCTTGAATAAATGTTTATACTGTTGCTGTTGTTGAACTTTCACTCTGATTAACCTGTGTAGGTGTGCAGCTACATTTTGCATGCGGACTGGAATTCAAAGTACTGTAATAAGCAATTATAGCACAGTTTGGAAAACAGCGGTCCGAAGGAGTCATTAATGCCTGTCAACACATAAGTCTAAAATCCTTAATGTTGTATTCAAATTTATTTAAACATGATGAATTCACAAAAGACATAACGTTAACATGAGTTCGTATTTATGGTAACGCAATGCTATCTTGTAAAACTGAAAACATGCCCAACGGAACCGGTGCCC